GATGTTTATTTCACTCGTTCTTTCTACAAGCACATACTTGGCGTAAAGGTGACTTACCATGATATAGAAGCCGTTGATCCTGACTACTACAAGAATTTGAAGTGGTTGTTGGAGGTTAGTAGGTTTTCTAATGCTTAATATATACATATGCATGTATACGTGTGTCTAAATGTTTTTTATATAATTGACAAGTTTTATTAAATGTTCATCTTTACCCTGCCAGAATGATGTAAGCGAGATTCTTGACCTGACTTTTAGCATGGATGCGGATGAAGAAAAACACATTCTTTATGAGAAAAACCAGGTACGTGCATCTTGAGTTCAATTTGTAAATGAAATTTATTTGGAAGATAACATTGTTTTGTCGGAACTTCCAAATTTGATTGTGGAATTTTTTTTTAAGGCTCTTGGGTATTCAATAAAATGTTTTCCCTATTGTTCCTCCTTGAAATAGGTTACTGATTATGAACTCAAACCTGGAGGAAGAAATATAAGGGTCACAGAAGAAACCAAGCACGAGTATGTAGATCTTGTTGCTGATCATATATTGACAAATGCTATCCGACCTCAAATTAATTCCTTCTTAGAAGGTTTCAATAAATTGGTGCCACGAGAGCTTATCTCTATTTTCAATGATAAAGAACTGGAGCTACTTATCAGTGGTCTTCCAGAAATTGATTGTGAGTTGGATCTCTCTCTCTCTCTCTCTCTCTAAATGTGCTTTTTAACATGAATTTTTGTTTTACTCTTCTTGTGCATTTTGTCCCTTGTCTAAACTGTCTTTTTGTCCTTACAGTGGATGATTTGAAAGCCAACACCGAGTATACAGGTTACACTGCAGCATCAAGTGTCGTTCAATGGTTTTGGGAGGTGGTGAAAGGTTTTAACAAAGAAGACATGGCAAGACTGCTACAATTTGTGACCGGAACGTCGAAGGTTAGTTAATGCACTAAGCAAAAGTTTTACTAGTTTTCACTTGATTCATGACTCAGTTGTATATAATTTTCTTTCATGGTCAGTTAATGCACTAAGCGAAAGTTTTACTAGTTTTCACTTGATTCATGACTCAGTTGTATATAATTTTCTTTCATGGTGCATGTGCATTATACTGTTATATTTTCTGGCTGCCTCTTTGCATCTCCACCCCGTTTCCCTTTTCTCTAGTCAAATTTTTAGTGTATTACAAGATGCAGCATTATTGTCTTTATTCTAACCGACTTGTTTCTTTGTGGTTTTCAGGTTCCTTTAGAGGGTTTTAAGGCGTTGCAAGGTATTTCTGGTCCTCAGAGGTTTCAAATTCACAAGGCATATGGTGCTCCTGACCGGCTGCCCTCTGCTCATACATGGTTAGTGTATACATGATTATGTTATATACGTCTTGTTTTTCGCTGGCAGATGGTTGCTCAGACTAATTTTTGCCCAGCTGGCTTGATATTACTAATACATTTTTCCCTTTCTTTTCAGCTTTAATCAACTAGACCTTCCCGAGTATACCTCGAAGGAACAGCTTCATGAGCGATTGTTGCTTGCCATTCATGAAGCTAGTGAGGGGTTTGGTTTCGGTTAACCATATTTTCTCGGTGACATTGTTCTCCCAGCACACGTGCAATCTGCCTTTGACTTGCCATGTACATGTACGTGGTTCAACCTTTTCCTTGTTTTCATTTTCTTTTAGCCGCCTTTGTTTAATGAGAGGGAACTAAATATCATTCTTTGCTCAAAACATCGTTGGCATAATTGCCTACATAATTTGGTTTCTGACCAATGTTTGCCTTCTTTTTGAACTCCTGCTCTTGCAGATAGACCGACTTATCTTGGAGCGGGGTATTTTAACCGCTCTCCATTAGCGTCGAAATCGGTATTTGATGGATTCTTAAGGAGGCTGGGAAACAATGCTTTTTGTAGGCGGTTTAAGAAGCGAAAGATTTTTTTTTTTTTTTCCTTTTCAACAATGGGGGGTGCATGTTGGTGGCAATGGCTTGAGAATTACATGCTTTTCTTAATTCCTAGCCATCCCAGAATTTGAGGGACGCTAAATCACAATTGGGGGAAATAATTATAGTATGTTTCATGTTCATATTAGATTATTTAGCTATCTTTTTCTTGATTATCATAGTTATTGTGGCCAAACTGCCTTATTACTCCAGTTTTTGTAGTTTGTATATTCAATGCACCCTATATTACATATTTATCTCTTGGTTTTAATTATTGAATATAACGTGAGAAAAAGGGTACCTCTTTTTTTCTGTTTCTTCTCTCTTTTTCTGTTCTTTTTTTTTTTTTTGGTTATAAAATAACTAAGATGAGCAACAATTGTGCCAGAGTGTTCTGATGATTTCCCTTTATGTGTGTGAAGGTTTAAACTTCTTTTCTCCTTTTTTTTTTTTTTTTTTTTTTTTTTTTTTTTTTGACATTTCCAGTGTTAATAATGGGAATCTATACAGAGGAAAGAGGGCAAGTAGTGTTCAAGAAAGCTAAAACCTAAAACAGAATTACGCAAAATAAATATTCCAGAGAACAACAGGATCTCCCCACAAAAACATGACAGAACACAAATCCTACCATTTTATCTTCTCAATTAGAGACGATTAAAAAGTGCAAAATATACCATTTATTTCCAACAAAATCGTCCAAAGGAGAGGGGACTAAAGATGACAAAAACTCAGGGTTCAAAAATTTCGATACGGCTTCTAATAAACCAATTTTTTACAAAGGGATCAATGTTTGGAAGAATTCTTAGCTGAGTTAGAGGGACAAAGTTATTTGTTCACAGAGAACGAAGTTGGCCATTGAGGGAATCAAATGAATAAAGTCTCATTTATTTACTTATTTTACTCTTGCATCCTTTGATGGGGGCACAGGAACTACCCGGTTAAGGACAATATGTCTTTTGGTGTACCAATTATTTAGGCTTTGTCATTTTTAAATATATAATTAAATGCTATCAGTGTGGCAGACAGAATCTAGCAAGTTTTACAGGGTATAAACATGCTATTATTTACTTTATAATTTATATTCTCCTCCATGATTTTAGGTTTTATGCATGCTTTGTGCATATCATCCAGCTATTTCTAAAGGTGAAATTTCGCGTCGGGCAGTCAGAATGAAAATTTCAGGCTGGGCCGAGCCTAAAAAAAGAGGTCGGCCCAGCCCGGCCCTAAATCCCGACGGCTCAAGGATCAGCTCGAAATTTTATAAGATATTTTTAAAAAAAATAAAAATAATACTTTTAGGCCAGACGGTCCTGACTCAAATACGTTTTTGGGCTTGAAACCTCTATCCAGCCCAACCTAGAGGTTAGAGCAAACCTAGGTCTGAGTCAATAGTAGCATCTCAAATCGACCCATTTGACCGGCCCAAACTTACAGCTCTAGCTATTTCCTTCTCTCTCATTTACAAATTTCTCTTTTTAATTAATCCATATATTTAGGTATTTCTTTCAAAATATGTATATATATATATATAGGCATGATCTTAAGTCGAGTGATCCTACCGTATAGCAAGTATAACATTTATCATATGAATTTGTAATATTTTATTGTAATATATTAATATTAAAGAAAGTTATATGTAACATATTGATGAGTTATATTTTCTTGAATGTTACAGAAAATGAGTATTATAAGAGTAACAAATAATGTTACACATGCAAATATAAAATGTTATATTTATCAGACTGATACGGCTGTTAGACTGAAAATATTTCTTATATATTTAAATATATTTAGGTCTTAACAAAAAATCCATGTAATCTAGGAAAATGCTTGAGATAAGAATGAGTTGAGCAAGAAATTCAAAAAAAATATAACAAATAAGTTGAATCTTTTGAAATTGTTTTATGGGTCAAAGTCATCATTATAAGAATGAAAATACAACGAATAGAAAAGGAGTCAAATTATATGTCTAATTTTGAGTGCCTTTATGACACGATATTTAATAATATAAACATTAAAAGAAAAATTAATTAAAATGTATTTAAATTTTTTAAATAACGTGTCACAATTTAAATTTAATTTGTTATATACTAATTGAGAGTGATTTGAATTCATTGGAAAATGAGCATAAAGATTAAAGACAAATGAATGTGCCTAAGGCAGGAATCATCACTTTGTAAAAAGTAAAAGCTGCCAAAACAGGAAATACCGAAGGCTAAAAGAATATGTGGACAGAGACATAAATAATTGTTTTGGATCCCCAATAAAATAAACTCCATCTTTTAAAAGCTGTGAACAAAAAAAAAAAAAAAAAAAAAACCCCACTTTTAAAAAAGGGAAAAAAAAAAAAAAAAAAAAAAAAAAAAAAAAAACATCACATTAACAAAACACATTTTTAACAGTTAGCTAATATTACAATTATATTGAATTCGATAAACATAATAATTTAATGTAATTTATTAAAAATTTAATATTTAAAAATTGCATCATATTGTTAGAATATTTTTCGTATTATGAATTTATTTTCACTACTCCAATGCTCTAAGTTCTTATAATATTGCTTCTTTTAGTATTCTTTATTTATTGTCATAATACGTATATCTTCATATCATTCAATCAAAATTTTCTATTAAACTGATTTTTTTATACCAAGTTCAAATTATTAAAATAGGATTTTTCTTTATATAAAATCAAAGAGTTTAGGTTGGGAGGATTCGAATCTATAACTAATTATTGAATTAATTAATCTCCACTCAATATTAAATTACATTGAAGACATTGAATGGCCACAGTTTATTAAAAAAATGGAAAAAGAAAATAATTGCCAGCAAGTCAAACGTACTCTCTATCTTTATGCTTCCGTGTAACCTAACAACAACAAAAAACAACAAACGGCGTTTGCCAGCTCATCATTCCATTCCGTTTACCCCGAGCGAAACGTCGTCGTTGTAAATTCTTTGTTGCCGTTTGCGTCGAAGACGCCGTTTATAAGGAAAACCCGTTAACCTGGATTTTTCCCAGAATTCATAAGGCCCACAAAATTCCTTCTCTCTCTCTCTCTCTCTCTCTGTCTTTCCCTCTCCTCTTCTCTCTCTCTCTCTCTCTCTCTAGACGGTCTTTTTCTTTCCCGGAAAAAAGACAGTTCTTTCCTCGCACGAACTCATGTCGGTACGTGATAATCTTTTCTCTTTTGATTAATTAAAATTGAATTAATTAGCTATTGTTTGAATTTATTTCCCGATAAAGCTTGTTTTGTTCGATTAGATGCGATTTCTGATCGATTTCTGTAGCTCAATACATCGTTGATTTGGTTCTGGTTTATCATGATCAATTTTTCTTTTGGAAATCTTTTTGTCCGTTAATTTCTGGTGCAAAAATTCATGTTTTGTGATGCGTAATATATGGAAATTCTTAAACTTTTCGTGTTAATGGAATTTTGTTTTGGAGTACATTGTTCGTTTTAATTTAACTTAATTTATTTATTTTTTATAAATAATTTTCTGTTGATTCGTAAACAATTCTGCTATAAGGAAGTGAAATTAGGCGTGAATGGATTTCTAGCAAATTTTTTTTTTTTTTTCCACTAGAGGCGTTTATATGGTTTCTCCCCCAACTTGAATTACACGCTTTGTTCAGAACAATAATGATTTACTGAAAAATAAGGAAAAGTTCTTTTTCTTCAGCAATTTTGTTTAGTAAAAGAAATTTTGGATCAGATTTTTTCCTTTTTCTTTTCATAATTATCGATTAGTTAGTGTTAAGTTAGTCTGTTGGCTCTTTTGTTTTGACTCAGATTCATATTGAAGCCTTTTTGTGATTTTGAAACGAAATAGTAAGTCATTTCCTTATTTGATATAAGATTGGCTTGGCATTTTTCATTTCTTGATGTAGGTAGATTTAGGCATAGTAGTCTTTTTTTTTTAATCGTCGTTTATTCTAGCATACTGATTAAGCTTTATGTTATTATTAGTTTGTCGTTTGTCTTAGTGGATAGGTGAGCTATAAATAGCCACATTAGCTATTGTAATAGGAAGACTCGATTATTGAGATATTGAATGCTAGTATTGAGTATTTTCTCTCCAATTGGGAATTTTCCTCTTGTGGGTTTCTTTAGGTAGATTTGGACCTTTGAGTTCCATCTTGCATCTGGGTTAGGCCGATAAAATCTATTTTAACGATTCCGTTGCATTAGATAGCAAATTCTAGTGTAAATTGTGACTAGAGATGCCATGCCTGGTTATAACAATCCTTGTGTATCCAAGGTTCATACCAGGATTTATCAGTGACTATTGAAGTGTTATGAACTATGACTGACCATGCATCGTATATAACTCATTGATATACCAAATTGCTTCTGTTCTTTTAGTTGATTGAGGCAATAGTCAGCATCTAGAGCGTATTGGGTTGTACTAGTTAGTTAAGGTAAATTTTTTATTTGTTGTGGTTGTGAGCATATATATTAATACTTCAAAAGGACTTTGAGGATCAGGAATTGAAAACATAATCATAACTTTATGTTATGTTCTCGTGTAATGTCTCATTTCTATACCATTATTCATATCGAAGTACATGATTTAATCTAGGTAATCTGGCAATAGATTCTATTAGACCTTGCTCTGCATTAGCTTACCAATCTACCTTTTTGCCTCTGAATCCTTTCGTGTGATTACTTCTTATAAACATAACTTATTTTAGCGAGAAATGATGAGGAAACTTATTTCAATCAATCCCATCTTGTTACATATGGTTCATTATACTGCGTCTTTGAACATGATTATTGTTTACCTTACTTAGCACTTTAAAGAATAACAATGGATTCAACTTTTTCGCAGGAAAAGGGTAGGCCACTACCAAAATTTGGTGAATGGGATGTTAATGATCCTGCTTCAGCCGAGGGATTCACTGTGATCTTTAACAAGGCTAGGGATGAGAAGAAGACGGGTGGCAAACCTGAATCCCCAGGGAAGGTTGATTCTAAATCTACTATCAAGCCTCCAGCAGATCCCGCCAAACCTCAGTCTGTAAGCTCTGTTCTTAATGGCTTTTGTCCTATTTGTCTTTTTCCAACTATTCAATATATGTATGATGGGTGGCAAACAACAATCGATTTGTTTTTCAAATTAGTAGACGGTGGGTTTATGTGTAAGTGCGACAAAACTTTTTGCATTGTAGTGACAGCAATATGATTGGTAGTCATTATTACTTTGCACAGTTCGCTGTCTTTTTGGTCACACAAAATAAGTCCTAGCTGACTTCTTATATAGAAGTGTTACAAGATGGGAGAAAAAATTTCCTTATGTTCTAGTGTAGGAAATGAAAGAGAAACCAGATGATTTGGTGTGTCGTATCACGCATGTATAACCTAAATATAAGAATTTAGGAGTTGTTTTTATCTTTTCACCATTTGAATGTGTGAGCCTAAAGCCCTTGAGATTTTCCATTTTCTTTGATTATTTTGATTTGGAAAGATGTGATGGGGTTATTAGATGTGATGTGTTTGGGAGTTCATTGATTGTTTTCGATTTTTAGTCTTTTCATGTGTTTCTTTCTCTTTTTTGTTTTGATCCTTGAGGACAAGTTGTCCTCTTTCCTTTGCACTTTTTCATTATCAACACAAGACGTTTCTTACAAAAAAGACTAAAAATTGTCGTCCTTGAGGTTGTGGTTAGACTCGGTCGGTTTGGTGCCTCATCCATAGTTGTTTTGATCATCAAAAACTTGTAGTTTCTCTTTTGTTGGGGTGGTGAAATACTTCCCAAATACATGGCATTTTCTGGGCTATTTTTTTTTCTTATTTGTAAATGAATTTACTGATTTTCAGAAAAAATGGTTTTGCTGCATTCAAGACCCACCTGCAGAATCATGAGAATGTCCTCCCAGTGGAACTTGCTTTCCACGGAAGATCATATTGTTGTATAACTAGCTCCACCAGATTTTTACATACAAAGATAGGAGCTTTAGGGCAGTGGATGGGTTGCTGCTGAAATTTATTTTGTGCTGTAAAATTGAGTTGTGGTTGGAGGAGTCAAGAAGACAAGGAGGGGGAAAAAAAAAGGAAATATATATATTGGCTGATGTGGTGATTATATTGGAGGCAAGTCTGTTTCTATCTTTACCTTGACTGTACTATATTCTTCATATATTGCTTGTGACATTCCTTTTTTCTTGTCTCTACTCTTGTATTCACTAAATTGGTTTTGTTTGTGAAATGTTTTATTTTTCTTCAAACAAGTAAATGTTAAGAGCCCCTGAGGTTCAGGGAAAGGAAAAAAAAAAAAAAAAAAAAACCCCCCTTCTACGCTCTAATAGAGTTCAGGTATTTGTAGAAATTGCGGCTTCTCTTCTCTGACCTTCATCTTGCCATTAAACTGCGTACATATTACATTGTTTATGGCTACCAACCGAAAAAAAAAGAAAAAAAAAGGCGATAAGCGTTGTAAAAGAAGTTAAATTGTTAGCGAAAATGGGTAAAAATGTATTTTACATTACGTTTTCTTTGACACTTTACTTTGTTTTGAAAGTTTGGATTGTAGTCTTTTTACAATATCAACAACTTAATTTTTGATGTAACATCTTTAATGAATTTCCCATTTAAGAAGTAAAATTATATTTTTTTTAAAGAGATAATTATACTATATGACCTTGAGTTGAAATTTAAGAAAGTTTTCAGAATATTATGAATATTATGATCTAATGATCTCATATTCTGTACATTATATAACGCCATTGTTTTAGTGATATCAAATTTTGCTATTCTTGCTATATTTTAAAAGTTTTGCTATATTTAAACTCTATTATTTAAATTTTGCAATATGCTTAAAGAGCCCTTTTTAAGTAACTTATCACATGGATAAGCTTCGATTTGTGCTAATATGAAGGGTAAAATGAGAGAGCAATTATCTACTAGAATACGTTTCATATTCTATCATAATACATTTCATATTCTATCATAACATTTTTTAAAAGAAAGAAGGAGCAAGATTTTGATATAAAAGTTTAAATTTAGCAAAAATTTTAAAATATTATAAGAATAACAAAATTTTATATCATTTTTATGTCCTTTAAATAATGACTATGTCATTATATAGTACAAAATATGATATCATATGATAATTATTATGTCATTTTTGCTATATATATAATATTTTAAAAATTTTACTACATTTCAACTCAAAAGTATCAAATTTTGCTTCCTTAAACAAAAGAAAGAAGGGAAATAGTAGAAAATAGGCCAATATGAAAAATTTAAGAAAGTATATAGGCCAATTTTTAGTTATAGAAATTAATAGGCCATAATTTGTCAAGTTATTGTTCCTAATTAGATAAGTTATGGGCAAACTTGTCAAGTTATGGTTCATAGCCAGACAAATTATGAACAATAACTTGTCAAGTTATGGTTCATAACCAGACAAATTATAGACAAAAATAGTAATTTGACATATTTATTAACTTACTTAAACTATTAAACTATTAGCCCTATTAATTTTAATTTAATCTCAAGTATTTCCCTCTTTCTCCCGAGAAAGAATTGCGCAGCCCATCATACCGATGGCCCATCTAGATATCCATTCTAGGAGCCCAAAAGTGAAGTGGGCTGTTAATCCTCCGCCCACGATCATACATACATACCGTGACCGCCGTTACAACTTTAGTGAATTTTTCCCATCTATAAAACAAGTTAAACTGCTGTTGGAACTTGGAACTATTGTACTAGAAACCTTATAAAAAAAAGTAAAAATAAAAAATAAAAAATAAAAAAAATATTTTTCCCTTGTGATATTTGATAAGTTATCAAAAGAAAAAAGAAAAAACTACAAGGTAAGTTCTCGGTTCTGAAGATATTCGCTTTTTTTTTTTCTTTTTTTTTTGTCGATTAGTTGTTCGATTCGTCTTACGTTTGATTTTGGATGCTGAGAAAATCCCAGTGAAACGAAAGAAAACGAGGGGAAAATTTTTGAACTCTGGGATTGAGATGAGATCTCCTCTTGTGTCTCTTGCCCTTTTCCTAGGAAACAAACGGGAAGCAAATCATTTCTGCTGCGGGGGATTATTTTCTTTTTTGGAGCCAAATTTATTTGCTTTTGAATGGGTCTAAGATGGGTTGATGGGTTGATAATGATAAATCTATGTTTCAAATAAGTCTCTGTTTGTTTTTGTGGAAAATAGTTCCCGGGAAATTTTAATTTGATTCCCTTTTGAGTTGGGAGGTGTTTGTTATTGACCAATTGATGGTTTTTATTTTAAATTGAAAAGCAAAAGATGTTTCTTTTTGTTTGATATTGTGTTGAGAATGATTTCTTGTTTCCCTTTTCTTAATTTCTTTTGAAAGAAACCAAATTTATTATCTTTGCATTGTCTAAGATAAGATATAATAACAAAATCCTCTGATGTGTTGTATCAAAATACTCCGCCTTATGTTTTCAGGTATTTTGCACCTATTTTTTATGTTTTGCAAATTGTGTTAGAAAAAAATGAAAAAAAAAAATTGCGTTAAAATTATCCCCTACATTTTTTAAGATTGTGTTGAAAACCTCTTACACAAATAAATCGTTAGGAGGTTTTAATTATGGTTATAGCGGATATTTTTGGAAAATATTTTGTGGGAATTTTTTATTTGAACGAGATTAGATTTTCCATAAGTTTCACATTTTGAGTAGGAGGCTTTTACTTTTAGTTTAACTAATCAGCAATTGATAAACTTGCATTTTAAAGATTAAAAAAGACTGATGTTTCTTTGTTTGGCATTGAGTTAGAATATTTTTTTGTTTTGTTTCTTGAAATCTGCAGATGAGAAGTGGATTGCCTAAAACCGGTGCGGTTATTTTGTTGTCGTTTTTGTTGAGCTTGCGAGCGGTGTTCGGGATCAGGTTTGTGATTGACCGAGAGGAATGCTTCTCTCACGACGTCAAGTATGAAGGGGATACAGTCCTTGTCTCCTTTGTGGTAGTCAAGGTTGATTCTTCTTGGCATTATAGTGAAGAGGGTGTTGATCTTGTGGTAAGTTTGCTCTTTTGTGATTTTTTAAATCAGTTGCTTTCTATTGATTCAATTGCAGAATTTAGCCAAAAAAAATCCGTCTTGTGATTCATTGATTGTTAGGTCAGTGAAACTCGAAAAATAGGAATTATTGTTGTTAATTGTGCAAGTTTATATTGAGGACTGGGGTCATACTTCTTGGACATTTGGAGATTTTGGTGTGCTTTGATGCGGATTGTCTTGCGTTTTTCATTTCATTTTGTTGAATGGAGAGATTTGTTTTCTGTTTGTTTTTCATTAGAAACCGAATTTAATCAATATTGATAACAATGCGAAATGTTACACCTCTCCGACTCATATACAGTCAAACAAAAGGAAAGCGGTTGAAGACTTCATCAGTAGAAGCCCACACAGAAGCTAAGCATTTAACTATTTCGAAAAGCGAGCGAATGTCCAGCTCCTTGGATGGGGAGATTGGATTGGTGAACTCGGGATTTGTAGGTTTTAGAGAAAATTTAGAGCTTTGAATGTGTGTGTGTGTTCTCTCTCTCTCTCTCTCTCTTTCTCTCTCTTTTAATTACTAGCATGCATTATAAGTTCTTTATTTTTAGGTTCTTGTTATTCAAATTTGTTGGTATGTTATCCTCTAAAATTTATACGATTTTCAGGTGAAAGGACCGACTGGGGATCAGATTCATGATTTTCGTGACAAGACAAGCGAAAAATTCGAGTTTGTGGCTCACCGAAAAGGAGTTCACCGTTTCTGCTTCACTAACAAGTCACCTTCTCATGAAACCATAGATTTTGACGTGCATGTTAGCCATTTTTCATACTATGATGAGCATGCAAAAGATGGTGCGCGTTCTCTTTATTCTTCCGTATTTGTTTTGATCTTCTGACCTTCAGATCCTTAGAAAGAATAACATGGACTCTCTCTCTGCTCTCTCTCTTGTCCTTGCTCTTCTTAGTGAGCAAAGCATGCTTACAATATTTATTTATTTTTTATTTTTTATTTTTTTCTATATCTTCAGAGCACTTGAACCCTTTGTATGAACAAATATCGAAGTTAGAGGAAGTTCTTTACAACATCCAGTTTGAACAGCACTGGCTAGAAGCTCAGACCGAACGACAGGCGTTAGGTATCTATTTTTAATGCTTTCGTTATGGCAATATTAAGACTACGAGAATTAAGGCCCTTATGAACGAGTGTCACTTTGCTCGTGATTCCTTTTAGTCTACACTAATCATTAGACTTGCTGATAGGCCTAACAAGGCATTGATATGGATTTATCTTCTTTTGATTTTTGAGCCTTTCAAAATCTTCTTTTAATGTCGTGTTTGTTTGTTTTTTTCTTCGTTTTCCGGGCATTAACCAATTTTCAGTATGATACACCAACCCTCTCTCTACCATAAGGCATTCGTGATGAAAATGTGTCTAGTTTTGCCACAATTCTCAATTATTGTTTCCCATTTAAGTGTTTTTGCATCTCTTGATGCAGTGAATGAGGCAATGAGCAAGAGGGCAGTTCAGAAGGCGTTCTTCGAATCAGCAGCGCTGATAGGTGCCAGTGTTCTCCAGGTTTATCTTCTCCGACGCCTCTTTGAACGGAAGCTTGGGATGTCTAGGGTCTAGTCCAGTATCTTCTCCGACGCCGAGAGGCATCTCGGTTCTTATTTGATGTTTTTGTTATACTGGTTAACGCTTCATAATATTTGAAAATGATTCGTAAGTTAATACCATCTCTAATCTCCGGATCAACAACTTTAAAGGCCTAGAGGACTTGAGTTAGAAAATTTATCATCATCTTATAACAAAAAAATACAAGTAGCAAGACAAACCTTTGATAGCAAAAGGTTTACAATACTATAGTGGCATCATTCATTATATTGAATGTAAAAAAAAAGTACAAGCAAATAAAGCAAGAGAAAATGCACCAAATAACATTTTTTATTACATGCTAATGAAGTTTATAGCAGGTCTTTTAAATATTAGTAAACTATAGCATATCATCTTTTAAATATTAGTTTCTCCTCCTCTCTCTTTCTCTCTTGCTTGCCCTGTCTTCCCTCCAATCTCTCTTATTTTCTTTAGATCTTCTTTTTCGCTTGGATCTCTGCGTTTCATTTCTCCATTTTCTGATTTATTTTTTATTTTTTATTTTTTACCTGCATGTGTTGGAACAAACTATATATTCGATTCGTTTTGCAACTTTTCTTCTTTCTTTTTCCCGGTTTTGATTTTCAGTTTTGTGTGAAATCCTGAGTTTGATCCGCTCTTGATGTTGTTCATGTTAATTGGGGTTTTCCGCTTCATGTTTTGAGCATTCTTTTGTTGGTAAAATACCAGACGTAAAATTAAAAATAATAAAGTATTTACGTGTATATATTGTATATATCATATACAAAATTGAAAATAATTAAATATTTATGTGTTAATATAGTATTTACTGCTTCAAGATTATAAAATAGTTAAACTATTTATGTGTAAATATAGTATATACTAAATAGAGGATTAATATAGTATTCTTCTATACATTCAGGATTTACAGGTCGTGACCGGATTTACTAGTAAATGTGAGATTTTTGAGTAAATACAGTAGTTCCGACTAAATACCGTATTTACTGATCGTCGGTGTCAGCAATCAAGTTTTTGAATAAATATGATATTTCTAAGTAAATACGGTATTTATCAGTCGCTAACGTTGACAATCAAATTTCTGAGTAAATACGGTATTTACTGGCACTAGCCGTCGATTGTTGCGCCAGGTCCCGACCATGGTCAACTTGATGAGAGGGGAGAAGAAGAGAGGTGGGAAGAAAAAAAAGTTCAAGGATATTTTTAATATTTAAAAAAGTGTTAAAAACCTAACACATTAAATTATGCTATTTACTATGTATTTTAATAAATAAGCTCCATTGTATAAAAGTTATAAACAAATATCATATTAACAAACACATTTATAACTCTAGATGATGTTGCAGTTATATTAAATTAAATAGATATAACAATTTAATGAAAACAATATTTAAAAACTGTATCATATTATTAGAGTATTTATTTTCACTGCTTCAATACTTAAAGTTCTTATAATATTGCTTCTTTTAGTATTCCTTATTTATTGCCATAATATTTGTGAACTTATATCTTCAAATCATTCTTCATATAAAAAAAAATCTTCAAATCATTCCATCAAATTTTTCTGCTAGACTGATTTTTTATATAAGTTCAAATTTTAAGTACGTAACTATGAATATAAGTATGTTGACGGTGATTTTTCATTAATAACCGAAAAGTTGAATCTTTGTGGTGAAACTTACATAAAACGGATCAAACAACAAAAGAAGCATAAAAACTAGAATAGCAAGCAAGAAAATAAAGAGCATTGAATGTGAATTTTATTGATGAACTTAGGTACACACTTAAATCCTCACAAATGTTTTGAGTACAAATATGCAGAGTAATGGCTCAAAGATCGATTTTTTATTAATCCTTTTCCTTCCCTTTGTATTTATAGGTCATTCCGCGCATTTATCTACGTGTCAGCATTACTGTCCTATCCACGTTCTTTCATCTTAATTATGGACACTTTTCATCGTGGGTGTAACTGTCACCGTCTTCTTTCGTCCCAATCTCAAATGCTCTTCTTTGTCGTGGAAAGGCGTGGCGGTTGAAGTCCCGAACAACGTTGGACTGTTACTCTGGTGAGCTTCTCTTCAAGGGACATGGGCTCTTAGAGAGAAAAATGGACCTGGGTATGAAGGCAAGAAAATGGGGTATGAGTGGGAGGAAATCTCATGTGCTCATGAGATTCGTGCTAAGTCCAAACTCGTTACATAACCAGCTGGTCAGGTCCTTAACCTAATCAAGTATGTAAGCTAGTCAAGTCTATGACCTGGTTAGGTATGTAAGCTGGCCAGGTCCACCAGCTAACACACTTAGAGGACGTTTGGTTGGAGGATTCAAACCATGTGATTCGAACAATTTTTTATTTACGTGTATTTTTTGTGAGAGAAAATACTGTAACGAATCACGAATTATGATTCGAATCAGGGAATGAATCCCTCTACCAAACATCCTCTTAATCTAGAGTTCAATCCAAGCTTTGAGTCTTGAGGCCATTGAAGTGACATGTTGACTTTGACTTGTAAAAAGTCTTGGGTAAGAATTTAGGGTCTTGTTCTTTTGAGTGAAAAATTCAAAAAAAGATAACTCGAGTTATAACTTTATTCGAGTTCATGTTTTTTTAAGTTTAAACTCGAGTTCAAACTCAAGTTTATGACTAAAACTCGAGTTCAAGTTTCTCCTTCAACTCGAGTTCAGAAACTCGAACTCAAATTAATGAACAGTATTTTTTCTATTCTTAAAAATGCTATAACTTTTTCGTTTTAATTCTGATTGAGATGATTTTTTTTTCTATGCGTTGACAACGAAAAGAGGAATAAAACCCGACGCATATACCCTATTAAAATTTTTCATCAGCATTGAGTTTTTATTAAAATACTATCTAAATACAAATTCAAGTTTTGACTCACTCAAACACAAACTCAAAAAGATTCTTATCTCAAACCATAATTCAAATATACACAACCAAACACAAACTTAAGTTACAAGTTAAACTCAAGTTATAACTCAAATTCAACTCAAAAATTATACTCAAATTAAACTCTAAAAGAACAAATCCTAAATATCATGGATAGATGGTTGAGAACTTGCGAGGTTACGAGCGAGCTTACGTGTCGTGAGGAAGGATATGACCTTACTTGTATGTTGAGGTGAGACATTACCTTACTTGCGAGTTGAAGAGGAACATGGACTTGTTCTCACGTGAGAGGGAAAAGGTTTAGCTCCCATGTAAGGGTTTAGGTTGAACTATTAGCTCACTAAGTTGTGAGCTCATGCGGCTTGTGAGCTCATCATTTGCCAGCTCGCCCACAAGCTGGTCAAGTTTATGAGCTAGCTAGGTCCACGAGTTGGCTTGGTTGTTTCGTTCATTTCACCGATTTGAATTTAAAATTTGAGTTTTGTTACAGTAAAAAGCTCTTAGAAATAATCACATCTAACTTTTTTACTATAGTAAAAAGCTCTCACATAAAGTCACATCTCAACTTAAATTAAAAACTTAAATCAGCGAACTAAACGGCCTAAGCTTAAGGTCATTTAATACTCCTTACTTGACTAAGCTAGAGTTAGTTTGAGCATTCTCTACGTGGAATGCTAATTTTAATTTGTGAACAATAATGGTATAACAATGTATATATGTAATATACTACCACATTAAAGTAAGGTTTATCTTTTATGTAAATCCAAAAATTTTGGGTGGGAGGATTCGAATCTATAACTAATTATTTAATTAATTGAAATGCCAAACTTTATTAAAAAAAATGGAAAAAAAATTATTGCCAGCTAGTCAAATGTACTCTCTATCTCTATGCCTCCGTGTAACCTAACAACAACAAAAACAACAAACGCTGTTTGCCAGCTCATCACTGTCCCGTTTACGGAAAGTAAAAAGACGTTTGGTTCATGAATTAGAATCATGAGATTAAAATTATTTTTAATTTACGTATATTTTTTATGAGAGAAAATACTGTAACAAACTATGAACCATGATTCAAATCATAATATGAATTTCCTTACCGAATGTTTCCTAAAACGACGTCGTCGCAAATTCTCTTACCGCCGTTTTCGTCAATAACGCTGTTTATAAGGAAAAGCCGTCAACCTGGATTTTTCGCAGAACTCATAAGGCCCAATTCTGGCCCAAAACTCTCTCTCTCTCTCTCTGTCTCTCTCTCTCTCTCTTCTTTTCTTTCTCTTTCTCTCTCTAGACAGTCATTTTCTTTCCCGGAAAAAAGAAAGTTCTTTCCTTGCACGAATTCATGTCGGTACGTGATAATCTTTTCTCTTGTCATTAATTTAAATTGAATTAATTAGAAATTTTTTAAATTTATTTTCTGATAAAGCTTGTTTTGTTCGATTCGATACGGTTTCTGTTCGATATCTGGAGATACATCGTTGATTTGATTAAGGTTTATCGTGATCAATTTTTCTTTTGGAAATCTTTTTGTCCGTTAGTTTTTGATGCAAAATCCATGTTTTATGACGCCTAAATTATGCAAATTCCAAGATTTTTGGATTCAAGATTAAAATTTTCGTGTTAATGGAATTTTGTTTTGGAGTACATTGTTCTTTTTAATTTAGGTTAATTTATTTTTGTAAACAATTTATTCATCGATTCGTAAAAAGATTCTGCAATAAGGAAGTGAAACTAAGGGTCTAGCAAATTTTGTGAATCGGTTTTTTGTTTTCTTTTTTCCACAAGAGGCGTTTATATGGTTTTCTCGCCAACTTGAATTACACGCTCTGTTCAGAATAATAATGAATTACTAAATAATGAGGAAAATTTCTCCTTTTTCTTTGGAAATTTTCTTCGCGGAGAGGAATTTTGGATCGGATTTTTGCTCCGAATGCCTGTTTTTCTGAAAATGGTCTAGCTCGTTGTCTAAATGTAGTCCAGGGTTCAGTAATCGTTCAGCTTCTTTTTGCTTCTTATGAAGTTAGTCTTTTTAAATTTATATTGATTGATCAGTTTGTGTTATGTTAGCTTGTCAGCTCTGTTGTTTTGACTCGGATTCTTACAAGTGTATTTGTAATATTGAAACGAAATATCGAGTCATTGCCTTATTTGTTTGATACAAGATTGGCTTTGTTTTTTTCATTTCTGGGATTCGGTCTTTATCGGCATATATGGTGAAAACACATAAATGAAAAAACTATGGATATAGTTTCTGAAACTGGATTTAAGGTGGGAAAAAAGAATTATCCCTCACAGTTTCAGAGGATACTATTCTCCTGGGCATTTGGGATTTCTGTTTTTAAATCTTATTTTTGTCCGGTTAAAAACCATGTTTAGGTTTGAAGATAACAATTAGCTGAATGGAAGAGAGAATATTTCTAGGAATATGCAGAGCTGAGACCTGTTGTTGTTGAGTGGCAGTAAATGGAAAAGACATATTGCGTGTAGTTGTGAGTAAGATCTATATAATTAAGCATGTCGATCTTTCAAAGTCCATGATGCCATGGAAAGTAAATTTTGGTGTAAATTTTGACTAGAGATGCCATGCCTGGTTATAACATTCCCTGTATATCCAAGCTTCATGCCAGGATTTATCAGGGAGTATTGAAGTGTTATGAACTATGACTGTCCAACCATCGCATAGAAGTCTTTGATATACCAAATTGCTTATGTTCTTTAGTTGATTGAGGCAATATTCAGTATCTAGAGCATATTCGGATGTACTAGGTAGTTAAGGTCGAAAGAACTTTGGGGATTAGGAATTGAAAACATGATCATAGCTTTACTTTATGTTCTCGTATAATATCTCATTTTTATTCCATTATTCATGTCGAAATACATGCTTTAATCTTGAATCCTTTTGATTGATTACTTCTTATAAATGTAATTTACTTTGGTGAGAGTTAATAAGGAAACTTATTTCAATCAACCCCATGTCCTTATATATGGTTCATTGTACTGTGTTAAAGAACTTTGGGGATTTGGAATTGAAAACATGTTAAAGAACTTTGGGGGTTTGGAATTGAAAACATGATCATAGCTTTACGTTATGTTCCCGTGTAATATCTCATTTTTATACAATTATTCATATTGAAGTACATGCTTTAATGTTGAATACTTTTGTACTGTGTTTGAACATGATTATCCTTTGCCTTACCTGGCAATAACAAAAGATTCAACTTCTGCAGGAAAAGGGTAGGCCACTACCAAAATTTGGTGACTGGGATGTTAATGATCCTGCTTCAGCCGAGGGATTTACTGTGATCTTTAACAAGGCTAGGGATGAGAAGAAGACAGGTGGCAAACCTGAATCCCCAGGGAAGGTTGATTCTAAATCTACTATCAAGTCTCCAGCAGATCCCGCCAAACCTCAGTCTGTAAGCTCTGTTCTTAATGGCTTTTGTCCTCTTTTTCTTTTTTCAACTATTCAATATATGTGTGACAGGTGGCATACAACAATCGATTTGTTTTTCACATTAGTAGATGGTGGGCTTATGTGTAAGTGCGACAAAGCTTTTTTTGAATTTTAGTGACAGCAATATGATCAGCAGTCATTATTGCTTTGTAGAGTTTGTTGTCTTTTTGGTCACACAAGATATATCCTAGGGGACTTCTTATATAGTAGTGCTACGAGAAGAGAGAAAAAATTCTTTATATTTTAATGCAGAGAAGAGAAACCAGATGATTTGGTGTGTCGTATGTATGACCTACATATAAGAATTTATGAATTTTGGCATCTTTTCACCATTTGAATGCGTGAGGCTCGACCGATAAAGCCCTCAGGACTTTTCATTTTCTTGATTATTTTGATAATGGAAAGATGTAATGGGGCGATTAGATGTGATGTATGTGGGGTTCTTTGACTGTTTTCGATTTTTATTGATTCTTTTCTCTTTCTTGTTTTGATTCTCGAGGACAAGTTGCCCTCTTTCCTTTGTACTGTTTTCAATAATAATAATAACAATAATAAATACTATTTGAAAGTTGTTGTTCTTGACTTTGTAGTTACACCTGGCTGGTTAGGTGCCTCATCCATGGTTTGTTTTAATCATAGCAAAACTATACCTGTTATTCTTTTTTTTTTTTTTTTTTTTTTTTTTTTTTTTTTTTTTTTTTTTTTTTTGGTATTGGGGTGGTGAAATACTTCCAAACACAGGACATTTTCTGGGCTAATTTTGCAATTTTTCCTATTTGTGAATGAATTTACTGATTTTCAGAAAAAATGGCTTTGCTGCATTCAAGACCCACCTGCAGAATCCTGAGAATGTCCTCCCAATGTAACTTGCTTTCCGCAGAAGATCATATTGTTTGTATAACTAGCTCCACCAGATTTTTACATACGAAGATAGGAGCTTTAGGGCAGTGGATGGGCTGATGTTGAAATTTATTCTGTGCTGCAAAATTGCGTTGTGGTGGGAGGAGTAAAGAAGAAAAGGAGTTTTAAAAAAAAAAAAAAAAAAGAAGAAAGAAACACCTATTGTATCTATATCTATCTATATCTATTGGCTGATGTGGTGATTATATTGGAGGCAAGTTTGTTTTTATCTTTTCCTTGACTGTACTGTAATCTTCATATATTTGCTTGTGACATTCCCTTTTCTTGTTTCTACTCTTGTATTCACTAAAATTGGTTTTGTTTATGAATGTTTTCTTTTTCTAAAGAAGTATATTTTGAGAGTTCCTTTTATAGTCTTAAGAAATTCACGTAGCCTCATAATCAGTAGCTGGTATGCTCTTCTCTCATGCCTTTCTTTGTAGAGGAATCACACCAATCCATCCCGAACTTGGCGGTGAAACGCCATTGCGGTGAAGATAGTGTAGGGGAGTTTGTTGAAATTGCGGCTTCTCTTCTCAAACCTTCATCTTTGACTATTTCTTAGCGACTAAACTGCATACATTGTCTAAGGATATGCAATTAAATTAAGAGTAATATTAGGGATACCAACTCAAATTTTTTTTAATGTTTATGTATGAACTGATATGATATGTGAGTTGTTATTTTATTATTGATAGGTATGATCTCTTATTATTAATTAATGTTGGTATTCAAGAATTGTATTTCACAAAGGGTACTAAATGACATGCTTTGGTGTCTGTAGCTTTATTCTTAAATTAAAAGCTAAACCTTCTTTTAGCCAAAACGAAGGGTACTAAACGACATGCGTTGTTAAAAGATTAAAATAGTTAGCATAAAGAAGTAAATTTTATCACACCCCCCTTAATTATCTTGTCTTTCGCACTTTACTCCTTAATCAAATTCTGGATTGTAGTCTTTTACGATATCAACCATTTATTACTTTTCTTTATGATTTCTAAGCGGCATGCAAGACACGGATGACTTATATTTGAGCTAATTTGAAGGGTAAGATGTGATAGATTAAAATAATTAATGCAATTCCGATCTGGAGAGCAATGTAATTGAGTGGACGTTTGGTTCATAAATTTAGAATTATAATTTTATTTTACGTGTATTTTTTGTGAGAAAAAAATATTATAAAAAATCATAAATTATGATTTAAAATAAAAGACGAATATAAAAAATAAATATCCCCTTAGATGTTCGCATGGCTCAGCTGCTTATGTGAAAAATTCAATTGCGTAACCGACAAAAGTTAAAAGATAATTTGACATTGCAAAAAAAAAAAAAAAAAAACCCCCTGAAAAATTAGAAAAAAAACAAAAATGGACGGAAATGTACGAAAAAGTTTTTATAGGAGATGAAAAGTGTCAAATAAGTGAAATTTACCCAATTGAGGGAAAAAACAGTGAAATTTACCGAAAACTAAAAGCTAAACGACATTCTCTTAACAAAAAAGAGCTAAACGACATTCGTTGTAAACACAGAATTTAAAGAGCTAAACGACGTTTAAGAGATAAATTCTGGAATTTTCTCTTGAAAACCCCGTCATACCAATGGCCCATCTAGAAATCCATTCTAAAAGCCCAAAATCAAGTGGGCTGTCAAGCCTCAGCCCATAATACATATATATATACTGTGTACGTACTTACAACTTACACGTCAATATTTCCAAAGTACTTTAACAAGTTAAGACTGTTGGAAGTTGGAACTACTAAAAAAAAGAAAAAAAAAAAAGGAAAGAAATCTCGTTTCTTAACACGTGTGGTAAGATATCAAAATAGATCATATTAATCGAAAAAAAAAGTCAGACTTCTTCGAGGAAAAAAGAAAAGAAGAGAAAAAACTACAAGGTAAGTTTCTGTTCTAAAGACACTATTCGCTTTTAGTTTCGATTAGTTTTGTTGTCTTGTTCGATTCGTCTTACGTTTGGATTTGGATGCTGAGAAAATCCCAGTGAATTGAAAGAAAACGAGGGGAAAATTTTTGAATTCTGGGATTGAGATGAGAGATCTCATTATCTCTCTTGTTGGTTTTTTCCCAGGAAGCGAATGATTTCTGTTACTGGGAATTGCTCTCTTTTTGGAGCAAAATTTATTTGCTTTTGAGTGGGTCTAAGATGGGTTTGATGATAAATGTTGTTTCAAATAAGTCTCTGTTTGTTTTTGTGGAAAATAGATTCCGGGAAAATTTCATTTGAAGAATATAAAATGTTTCCCAAAGTTCTCTTTTGAATTGATAGGCGTTTATTTCATATTTCTGACCAATTGATCGAATTTTTTTAAAGGGGACATGGAATGATTTTTTTTTTTTTTTTTTTTTTTTTCCGATTTTGTGTTAGAATGATTTCATTATCTAAGATGGATTAATGATATATATAATAACAAAATCCTCCGATGTGTTTTATCAAAATGCTCCGCTTTATTCCTGAAAAAAAGAAAAAATACTCCGCTTTATGTTTTCAGGAATGTCACACCTAGCTTTTAGGTCCTGCAAATTGCGTTAAATTTAAAATTATCCCCTACATTTTATAGATTGTATTGAAAACCTCTTACACAAATGAATCTATAGGAGGTTTTTAACCTATTTTGTAAAACGCAAAGGATTGGTGCAGCATTTCTGAGAACATAGAGTGAAACATAGCAATTTGATAAAATATAGGGGAGATTTTTGTTGTTATTTGTTGGCGTGATATATTTTGGTGTTTTTTTTTTCCCCGGAAAATAGGTTCTGGGAAATTTGTATTGAACAAGGTTAGATTTTCCCAAAGATCCCTTTTTGATTAGGGAGGTTTCTACTTCTAATTTAAATATGAAGTTAACAAACATGTATTTTTAAGATGAAAAAATATTGAAGTTTATTTGTTTTGTATTGAGTTAGAATATTTTTGTTTTGTTTCTTGAAATCTGCAGATGAGAAGTGGATTGCCTAAAACCGGTGCAGTTATTTTGTTGTCGTTTTTGTTGAGCTTGCAAGCGGTGTTCGGGATCAGATTTGTGGTTGACCGAGAAGAATGCTTCTCCCATGACGTCAAGTATGAAGGGGATACAGTCCATGTCTCGTTTGTTGTAGTCAAGGTTGATTCTTCTTGGCATTATAGTCAAGAAGGTGTTGATCTTGTGGTAAGTTTGCTCTTTTATGTTTTTTTAAATCAGTTGCTTTTTTATTGATTCAATATCATAGTTTCACAAAAATACAAAAAAACAAAAAAAAAGAAAAAGAAAAAAGAAAAACTTCTTGTGAATGTTTGGTCAGCGAAGCTCGAAAAATATGAATTGGATATTGTTGTTAATTGTGTTAGTTTAAATTGAGGACTACGGTCATGTTACTTGAACATTTGGAGATTTGGAGTGTTTGGATGCGGATTCTCTTGGGTGTGTCATTTCCTTGCAAGGAGATATGTTTCGTTTGTTTGTTTGTTTGTTTTTCATAGGAAACAAAAATTCACTTGTATTTGAAAACTACTCAAAACGGAGGAGGACAAACTTAACGCTCCATTACGCCTCTCCAACCCAATACAGTCGAAGAAAAAGGAATCTGGTTGAAAGACTGAGGCTTTGTTCATTTTACCGATTTGAATTTTCAGTTTTAGATTTCTACTGTAAAAAGCTCTCAAAAAATGTCATATCTAACTTTTTCTACTACAGTGAAAAGCTCTCAGAAAATGTCACATCTCAACTCGAATTAAAAACTCAAATCTGCAAAGTGAACGAGGCCTGAGAGAATGTCCAGTTCCATGGATGGGAGATCGGATTGGTAAAGTAGGGATTAGGATGTTTTTGACACGTTTTTCTGATTCCTAGTTTGGTTAAGAGACATTAAAACCTGTTATGCAGAGATCCATGCTACAGGGGAATAGGTTTCTTAAGCATTACTATGTCACTATATTTGAACATAGAAGTTTTACATCTTTGGATGTTCCCTTTTATTATTATTATTATTTTTATTATTATTATTGGTAACATGGCATTATAAGTGCTCTATTTTTATGTTCTTCAAATCTGCTGATATATTGTCCTGCAAAATTTATAAACTTTCAGGTGAAAGGACCGACTGGGGATCAGATTAATGATTTTCGTGACAAGACAAGTGAAAAATTCGAGTTTGTGGCTCACCGAAAAGGAGTTCACCATTTCTGCTTCACTAACAAGTCACCTTATCATGAAACCATAGATTTTGACGTGCATGTTAGCCATTTTTCATACTATGATCAGCATGCAAAAGATGGTGCGCATTCTCTTCATTCTTCCGTATATGTTTTCGTCTTCCGACCTTCAGATCCTTAGAAGGAATAACATGGACTCTCTCTCCCTCTCTCTCTCTCTCTCTCTCTCTGGTCCTTGCTCTTCTTAGAGACCAAAGCATGCTTACCACATTTTTTTTTTTTTTTTCTTCAGAGCACTTGAACCCTTTGTATGAACAAATATCGAAGCTAGAGGAAGCTCTTTACAACATCCAGTTTGAACAGCACTGGCTAGAAGCTCAGACCGACCGACAGGCAATAGGTATCTATTTTTATTGCTTTCTTTATGGAAATATTAAGCCTAGGAGAATTAAAGCCCTTATGAACGATTGTCGTTTTGCTCATGATTCCTTTTAGTCTACGCTATTCATCAAACTTGCTGATAGGCCTAATGTTGCGAAAATTTGGTTCATGTGATGTGTGTACTCGCAAGTGAATGAATCGTAACAAGTAGTAAAGTGACAAATTTTGTCAAATTTCGTCCCACAAGGATTGAGTTTTCATAAAGTAAACCAACTACCGCAACAATTATAATTCTATTTTATCTAGGCAACCAAATTTGAGAGAACAAACTACTTAAGACAACAAAATTAAACTAACAATGCAATAAAGAGAACCATTTGGACAAAAAGAATCGAAGGGAATTCTGACAATAAAAGGGGACTAGGGGTTTTGGTTTCGTTCTATCGAGCTATGCAATTCTGATACTTGAGTAGTTTGTTAACTAGTTTCATTCATTTCATTAATCCAGGTTTTTAAAAGTAATTTCATTCTCTCTCTCGAGTGCCGAGTGAAATGGTGTGCAAAATCAATTTAGCAATATCCCTATTTACCTAATCAATTAAGCACCTAATAAGCAAACCTAATCTTGATTACCCGATTTAATTGGCCTCCCGAACTCAACTAATTCTAGGTTGTATTTCCCAAATCCCAACATGTGAGATTGACTTTCCCAAAACTAATATCACACATCTATATCTCTAATTCATTGAACCACAAATTAGAACAATAAGCAAAGAGAAACACAAATGAATTGAAATGAAATTTTATTAACAAGCATCAAGCATCTTCAAAACATAGCTAATGATAGAACTACATCAAAACCCCTAGCTTAAAGAATCCACCAAACACTAAATCCAAATTCAAAAAAGGCTTAAATGGGACAACAATGGATAATTTCCAAAGGAAAAGGCCATTTGCTGGAGGGCGGGTAATGCTAGGTGAGGTGCGGTGGGAAGTCTAAAAGCGGTGGGTAGGCAGCGGTGCTTTGACCGAGATCCAAGGCTAAGCGATCAAATCTTGCATTCGTGTTCAAGTAGCACGCATAATCGAACTCCGCCTTTTCGATTCTCTTTTTTTCTTCGAAGAGGGCCCACCCCCTCATCTCTTGGCCTTGACGTTCAATTATGTCGTCGGATACCGTGACCTTAGTCATTTGTTTGTGCTTTGCTCCTTGACGTGAGCTACCGGCCTACTCTTCAACTTTTGCTTCCTCGTTCTGATTATTCCATATCCGATGGATGCCGTAGCGGTCTAAGGGTCTCATGGGTTGTAGAATAGCTGAGTCATCTATGGTGCTCACTCCCGCTGCTTCTCTCGATTCGGTGATTAGGCAGGGCACTGCTAGCCCTACATTGTTATTGCGGACGACATGGTTGATCGCTGATTGGATCATTGCACCCACATTCATCCTGAGCCCCCTCTTTGAGAGCAAAGAGAACAAACGCTTTCTCTTTCGACACTTCTGACATATGTGAAGCTGGGAACATCCTCCGGCAAATAAAGTGATGCGAGATGTTCATATCTTAGTCGAGACAATGACACTCAAAGGTGGACTCGATCTCATTGGCTATGGACCAATTGCATCCTCGAGGACAAATGTCCGCTACAACCTCATCCAAGTAAGGATGGTCAATGTATTCATTAATCTCATCGAGGTCAGGAACGGGAATGTCGAGATGCTTGTTAATGGTTCGGGCATCATATTTTATCTCTGTTTTTCTTACCATGGATCTACTACTTGTCATGAATTTTGCATTAGCATAAAACTCCCGAACATACGTCAAAGCAGCGGCCTTGGAGTTTTAACATAAGTTTTTCACCCGCGAGACTTGATGATTTGGGCATAGTCGGGGAATTCGGATTCATGGAATTGGAATCCCCTCTCTTTCATACCCGGCCTTCTTCTTGTGTATTGCTTAAATAAAGTCCTCGGCTTTTTTATGGATAAACCTCTTCAAATCCTTAGCGGCAGGGGCAACTAAGCCTTGCCCTTATTCTTGGAAGCAACAGCTTTCTTCGGCATTTTCACACTCAATCACCAAGTATCCAACAAGCCCAAACAATTTAGTGCCACAAGAGACTCAAAATCAAAGCCAAATGAACAACTGAACGAGAATCAACCAAGCTACCACCCAATCAACTTCAAGTACAATATTCCCACAACCAAGCACGAGCAACAACCCCCAAAAGCAATAATAATCACCAAGCCACAAATCACCACAAATCAAAATTAACACTAACTACCAGAATCATTCACTTTCTCCCACACACAATTGATCAAGTATTCACAATCTTCTTCAAAAAGCCAAATCTTCACAAGATTCAACTCAAAATTCAGGTTCCTCAGTCAATTTCAGATTCTCAATGAGCAAATTGCCAAATCTCAAATTAAAGTCCCAAAAGTTCAAATCCCTTCTCAAAATCGAACTAGTCTTTAAGAACAACTTACTTGATGATGATGAGGATGGAGAAGAGAAGAGAACCCCCAAACTTGCGTCCTTTGGAGCTTGACCCACTGAGAGAACGCTGGATATGATGAGAGATGGTGAGGGGGTGGATTGTGGGTGTTTGGATGTGAGAGATTTGGTGGAAATTTTGTGAAGAAGATGAGGAAAGTGAGTGAAAAGGTGGAGATTTTTGGAGAAAAATGGGGACCTCCATGGTCGGATTTGGTGTTTGGGGTGCAGTTGAGAAGGAGAATGGTGGATTTGAGAGAAGAAATTAGGGTTTCGGACGTGTTTGGGCCCTTTATACCTGTGCAGCTATGTGTGCGGCGCTGCAGCGGGCCTGCGCATGAGCCCTTTTGCTGGGCTCGGATTCACTCGGGTGCTGCAGGGGACGGATAGTCTGCTGCAGCGGATACCCAGTTTTTTTGGTTCTTGCTGCCTCGTCCGCTGCAGCAAACTGGCCTGCACTGCAGCGGCCTCTTGCTCCGATTCCTCTCGGCCAACTTGTGCTCCTCTCGGCCAGGAATTCCGCTGCAGCGAATTTCTTTCCCGCTGCAGCGGGAGCTGATTTCCAGTCTCTCGGGTGAAGTTTCGGCTGCAGCGGGAAATGCATCTGCTGCAGCCCCCTTGAACGAGAATTTTTTACTCCATTTAGCGCTCTTTAGACCATTTTATTCACGTGAACACGAAACCTACAAACAAAACAAAACACAATAAAAACGCCAGAAACCAACAAAATAATGAAGTATGGAAACGTAAATAAATCAAGCAATCACCTAACAAGGAATTTGTATGGATTTATCTTCTTTTGATTATTGAGAACTTTAAATTAATGTCATGTGCGTCTGTTTTCTTCTCCATTTTGCGTGTCTATTTTTGTGATGGTACTTGATTATTGTTTCACATCTAAGTGTTTTTGCATCTCTTGATGCAGTGAATGAGGCAATGGGCAAGAGGGCAGTTCAGAAGGCGTTCTTCGAATCAGCAGCGCTGATAGGTGCCAGCGTTCTCCAGGTTTATCTTCTCCGACGCCTCTTTGAACGGAAGCTCGGGATGTCTAGGGTCTAGTCCACCATCTATACATTTTGCACATTTCTTATATGATGTCTTTGTTACCCCTTTGCTACTTGAGAGGACAGGTTAACGCTTCACAATATTTGAGAAGGATTAGTGAGTTAATACTATCTCAAATCTCCGGATCAACTACTTTAAACGCCCAGAGGGCTTGAGCTAGAGAATTTTTCATGTTGTCACCCCCACAAAAACACACAGTACACATACTTTTGGTAGCGAAAGGCTTACAACACCATGGTGGTATCATTTAATACACGAATATGGACAATTTAATTCTCTTTTGAAAATCCATTTTCAATTTAGTTTCAATTATTTTTGTTATCTTAAGAACATGAAAGGCTTCTGATACGGTAACCCATGCTCTGAGGTCAAACTGCTTCTCAATCCTGTTGTCATTGTAAACCAGTTGAACAATGGTAGTTTTGCCAGTACCAATAATTGTTCATTTCCTAGAACATAAATTTTATTAATTGTTTGTGATGTTCGAAATATTCTAATGAATTTTAATAAGAAAGTTTAAATGAGACTTCTATTTTTTTTTTTTTTTATATAATTAAAATCATGGAAATAACTCAAATGATCAAGAGAGAAAATCATGAAAGATTAATAATGCAAGACTTCAGACCATTCATATCATTCAGTACATGAACGCAAAACAAGTGCAAAAAAAGAAACCAAATGCAGCTGATTTGACTGCTACCGAGCTCGGCATCTTTCCCTTATCCTTCCTCAGAAAAAGGCCTTGGTACAATGGCAAATTTATCAAAATCAAAACCCCACAAAGCAGAATCTGCACAAGCACTGTCTCGTAAAATTTTACGACACCCTCTCCCATGACTGCTTCCTTTACAGCCCCGACAAAGCAATAGAGATTTACCATGGCAAGTACCGAAAGTATGGTGAACATTGGTGAGGATGTCCCAAACTCCATAATCTCCTTTTCGTATCTCTCGGAAACATCTTTGTCAGCTACTTTGGCGGTAATTACAAATGCCGACTCGGAGAATCCGAGCGAGTTGAGAATGGTGTCGATGAAGGCAAAAAGGTAGGAGCTTGCCCTCTTGTAAAGCCACATTCTTTGCTCATTCCACCAACCAAAGATGGTCCCACCAGACCACAGAAATTCTGCTAAACTGTAAGTGTACTTGGCTATAACCACATATGCAAATGGTATAAGCCATAGGCTTGAGATCTGAATCCATTACAATACAAGACTTGGTTAAAGTTATTTATTTATTTATTTTGCAATGAGAGTCAGAGAGAGCAAAAGGCCAATTAAAGCTAACAACAAAAATCTCATTGTTCTCAATCGAAATGCTTGAATCAACCATGCGTTTTTAAAAATGATCAAATTATTCCCTGTACTTTTTTTATCGAACAAAGTCTACTTCTTAATTAAGCCAAAATTTAATGCTTGAAAAATACTAATACCCTTTTTATGAATTGATTGTTCTCTCTTAACTTTGATCTTTATTTTTTTCGGCATTTGAGAATACATAATGAACTTCGATTGTTTTCAAAATTTGATTTTTATACAACATTGTTGTCGTCCCTAAAATGAAAAGCGTGTTTGTTTTTATGCAAGGAGAAACATCTTTCCATATTAATTTTGACTAAATCTGACACGATGATTGGATTTTGTGTAATCGAGGATGATTTTATTAAAAAAAAAAAACTAGGAATAACCTCATCATTTCTAAAAATAGAGTGGATTCCTACATTTGATCATCAGTTAAAGACGAAGAGGTATTTTTTTTTTAACACACCGTTGAGAAATTATGTCAGCAAAATGCACAAAAGCAATAGAGAAGTTTGAGTTCATAGAATGTACTTACTGGTGGAAACAATGGAATGCTTTTCAAAAGGCAAAGTGAAGGGACAAATGAATAATACAGAGTTGCCAAGCAATTAGGAGCCCAAAGGCAATAGCAGCAGTATCCAAGTTGAAGACCAAGGGTAATCTTGTTATGGGCATACCATGCAGGACTGTACTTGGACAATAAAATTTGGAAATCACCTTCAGACCATCTCTTATGCTGGACTAATGTTTGCAGCAGTGTGGTTGGAGCCACCCCCATGAAAGCTGGCCTTGAGGGGCTGAAAAACACTGATTTCCATCCCCGGGTTTGGATTGATAACCCGGTTATGACATCTTCAACTGGACAACCATATTTCAAACCCATCTGAAAGTTATAATCACATCAAAGATCAGTTGCTCAACTATGCGATACGCGCACACGAAAACAAACATAACAGTGATTCATAGCTCCTGTTCAATTTTTGGTGTTCCAAATGATGTCTAACATATAGTCACGTCATTTACAATCAAAACATTTTGAACTTTTTAAATTGCGTGACATAACATGATTGATTAGACAGTTAACATCAAAATTAGACGAAATTTGAGTCCAACATGAAAATATAAAGTACCAACCTCCTTTCCCCATTGAGTGTTTTCCTCGTAAGCACAACTTGCTAGGCCTCTTACGTTCTCTTCTAAATCGCGAACACTTAATTCTCCTCCGATAATTTCCCTCTCTTCTTCGTTATTTTCGCCACCAAATTCTGTTCCACAAAGAACATTTCTTCGGTGAAAGCAGCCAGTTCCAGAATAAAGAGGGCCTCCATAACCATCCATGCCAGAGAATTCCACCTTAAAGGAACAAGTATGGAGAGATCTCTAACTAAACATATATAATGATCAACACTAATAAACTTAATTAATGAGTATTTGATTCCATTAATGGAGTTTACTCACCTTGTTAAGTACTCGAAGTTCGGTTCCATACAAATCATTCTTTGTGTTGTTTTCAAACTTTTGTGGAAATTGTACAAATGCAATGTCATGGCCTTTCTCTTCATCCAACAAGAAGCAAAGGGCATCTCTTATGGACGTAGAGTTGTTTGAATACATATCACAGTCCACATTCAGAATTATCTCTCCATTGCTGATCTTTGAAGATACTCTAATCTGCAAGAAATTTGGCCTCATGACAAAGCAATCAATGAGCAAACGACAATAAATATGCGTTCAATGGTGGAGCTAATTTAGAGGTAATTTCGTATTGAACAGGGACAAAGTTGTATATTTTATCATTGAGTGGGAACACACTTATAGATTTTCTTATAAAGTGGGGGTATAATTAAAATTTTGAGAAATTTAGAGATAAAATATTAGTTTTTATAGTTGAGTAGAGACAAGTGTCCCCCACTTAATATGAGGTGGTTTTTGCCACTATTTACATTATCGAATAGATATCCAAAATCTTTTACTCCTTTTAACAAAAATGTCCATCCAATTTTTCTTTTGATTTGTGTCCTTGATTTAGATAAGTAAATTTACCAATTTTCTCTTTATAAATCAGGTAAATGATCAAGTAACCACGGTAAATTAACAATTTATCACCGTATAAAAGACGAAAATTTAGAAAATTCTATGGACACCTTTTGTAAAAGAGTAACAAATTGGACATTTACAGTAATTTCTCTTAAATTATATAGAAGACAAAACAATTTTCTTTTTAATAAAATGACTTTCAATTTATATTATAAGTTTGTGTCTAAAGCAATTACCAAAGCATTCATAGCTCCAGCTTTGAAGTTATGGTGATAATGGGGTCTCTTTTCTCTGGCCAAGTATACTAGAGTTGGTAATGTACAACCAAAAACATCTTTAGCATCTGCATCCTTTCCATCAATTACGATCTGTGGAGTATTAAAAAATAAGAAAGTAATTGTTAGTCCTTTGTTTGGTTTATTACATGCTTCTAAGTGAAAATAATTGCACTTTACTGTTACGAGATGAGATGATAATGGATGTTAATCCTCCAATTTAGGCGATTAAATTATGTTAACTCTATTAAAATACATCGCATATATATATATATATTAAAAAGTTATAAACTTGTTTGGATACCTTTTCATTGGTTATATTTCTAATAAGAACATATTTAGGAGATGTTTATTTCATGTATTCATCTATGATTTTAAATCATAATTCATGGTTCTCTACAGTGTTTTTTTCTCATAAAAAATACACGTACAATGAGAATAATTTTAAATTATGATTCTAAATTCATGAACGAAAACATCCTCTTTAATAATAATTAACGATGTAGTTCAATCACATTAATTGCTATAATACCTGGAAAATGGTGTCATGGTCACGCCGAGACAAATAGGATTCCCACTGAGAGAATCCTTTATGTTTTGACTTTTCTTCTTCTGGGATTCGGCCCAATTTGGTTGTATTTTCAATTCGATTCTCCATATCCTTGTACAATTTCTTAAACAAACAAGAGAGAACAACTATATAATCAATTAAATGACACAATTCACACCACAATGAGCTATATTAACTTTAACTTTAATCAATAACTAACATTTTTCTACCAAATTAACAACATCACAATAGATGGAACAACATTGATATGTAATTATAATAAGCCTAAATGTCTGATGTCAAGCAAGCAACAATTTAGTGATAATAGCCAGTACTAGGCTTAAAAAGACAAAACATATGTGTCATGGATGACTCAATTCGTTCCTTTAACTTGAATCCTTCCCTTTCAAGTATTCCCAGCTGTTTTGTATTTATAATGTGCACTTTTAGATATCATATTAAGAGTTTCTCTGATAGGACTAGAAAAAATAAATTATCGATAGTTATTTACTTTTTACTTTTTAACCGTCAGATCTGCATCAGAAATTTTCTGTTTTGCATACTTTTTTAGTCAAATGTGATTTTAACAGATATAACGGTCAGAAACAACTATCACGGTAGAGTATGTTTGCATCCTACAACACGATGACTGTAATAACTAATAAGATATAATTGATACTAATTTTTAAGGCAATTTAGGATAAGCTTTTAAAGGACAAGAAGTTTTCATATGGATTGATCCCTTTTGAGTGAAGTAGCTAAGATAGCATACAAAAACTAGAGCAACTTTTGTCAATCATCTTATCTTACCATATAACTACATGTGTAACAATAAGCAGAACTACCACATGGCAAAATGCATGACTAAGATGAGTCATGCACCGTTATATTTTTATCTGTTTTCCTTTTTCTTTTGTTTGGAAGAAAACAAAAAAATGCTATATGATTTCTATGGGCCATCATCACCGTACAAGTGTGCCGATCCCGCACCCTTTATTGCGATGCTAGGGGCTCACAATGCCCCCTAGCTAGCAGTACTCTAAAAAGAATGTTACACGTGAAGAGGTTGGTGTACTCGGATAATCCGAAGACAACTAGATCACTAAGGTGAGGCTTTAACATGATTTGGTTGGTAGATTCGTACCATAATTTGAATCATGATTCGTGGTTCGCTACAGTATTTTTTCTCATAAAAAAACACACATAAATCGAGAATGGCTCTGAATCATAATTTTAAATCCATGAACCAAACGTCTATAAGAGGATGTAACATTTTATCATTGATCCACGTAATTATGAAGCAAAAATAGTTTGGAAGACTATATTCCCAACTGCCACACTCCCTCCCACAAATGATATTCGTAAAATGCTTAAGGACACTATTGGTTCTAAGCACCACAACTGTTCGGAGACAGACCTCATCTGTGGACTCTCATTTTTGAGACGTCCTGTTTCGTTTTCTATTTGTGTGTAGTACTCAAAACCACTGATGCCCCCCTAACATTTTTCGTGAGATGCGACAATAATTTATTTTTCAAATAAATGTTGTGAGTACCTTGATTGTGATAAACTTATTGGCCTGTTCAGCTTCACTTACAGGAGGCAATAAAGACATGAACTTGAAATAAGCAGCTGGTGACCTTGGCTCCACATCAAACTCTTTGCAATATGGAATCCAGTCCTTGGCAAATTTAGAAGCTTCCAAGAGAGCATAGAAAGTAAGATCTGAACCCCCATCATCTGAAAGATACACACTAAGCTTCTCTGCTGGGAAATCATAGGCCATCACTGACAGAACAGTGTTGATCACCATTATTGGTGGCTCAATTGTCGGGTCTGCTGTGCACACAAATACGTCCACACCCGGCAACTCATCGTTCTCATATCTGTAAAATAATATAAGAACGGCCTGTTTGGTTTATAAGTTCGAACATAAATTTAAATACTGATTTGAATAATGATTCGTGGTTGGTTACAGTATTTTTTCTCATAAAAAATATACGTAAATAAAAAATAGTTCTAATCACGTGGTTCTAATCCATAAACTAAACGGACTCTAATTTTTATTAGAGAAAATATTGTAGTAAAAAAAAAAAAAAACTTATGAAACGAACAAATGATAAAAGTATTGAAGCTTTATATAGAATGAAAAGCGAAATAAAAATGTAATGTAATGACAAGGTGAAATAGAGAGAGCAATTACCTTTGAGAGAGCCTGTCCTTGAAGGTGATTCTATGCACTCGGTTCCACCGGACGGCTTGAGTGAGAATCCAGTAGAAGCCGAACCAAAGCTCGGAAGCAAGCAAACCAATCCATGCCCATCTGGCTGCATTATCTTGGCCTGGTTTTGGTATGTGAGTCAATCTATACACCCAAATCAGACATATGCCCACAAATATTGAAGAAGCAAATAGCCTATATGTGACCCTTCCCTTAGCTCTCTTAGTCTCAAATAATGGCAGCCCATGCCCTTTACTTCTCATTTCTCCCTCCTCTCTCTCTCTCTCTTAAATGGTTACATTAGAAAAAGTGTTTGTAGGACCATGTCTCTCCCTTCCTATTACCCCTTTCTTTATTTCTCCTCTTCATCTGTAAACCGACAATATAAAAAAGAATTTGTCTTTGTCTGAATTTATTTATAATTCTATACGAGTGACAAAAACACAGTAATGTTTGGTAGAAGGATTCATTTTCTGATTCAAATTATGATTCGTGATTCGTTATAATATTTTTTCTCATAAAAAATTCATATAAATCAAAAATAATTTAAATCACATGGTTTAAATTCTCCAACCAAACATCTATGTCCATTGAGATGTGACGGTTTAAAATTGAACTTTACTAACCAGGCATTTTCTCCCTTTCTTTCTTTCTTTTTTTTTGTCCTCCGTATAAATTTAAAGTCATAAATTGATGGAAGAAAGATTCGGAAAATCTGATCGTTTTGGGATAGCTGAAAGCACGTGTTCAAAATTTTATAGCCAAAAAAATAATAAAGAAAAGAAAATTTGTGTTTAGAATAGTTGTATGTGGTCATAAATTGATATTTTGTCCCGCGGCCCACTGCAATGGCACAGTAAATCAATTAATTTATGAATATGGTCCGTGATGGCGAGAGATGTGTGGCATTGAAAAGTAAAAAATGTGACTCCAAGACAATTAAATTGGCACCACATATGTATATGATATCTTTTAGTCAATGATAATTTTATGTCTTGTTTATTTCGCTCATTTAAGTTTAATTTGAGTTAAAAAGTAAATTCATATGAGAGAAAATTATACGTTACTAATTTCTCCATCTATTTTTAGCTTTTCTATTCGTTTTGTCAAGTACTGAAGATTGTTGAACGTTACTAATCTTGTCACCAACTTTCTGACTAGGAAAGAAACAAATGTCTGATGACAGATGACAGGGCCTGGCATTTTCTACTGAAGATAAACCATTGAAAAATACGACACTATATGCTAGTGAGAGATCCACACCAAAAAGAGTTGTAAAATACAACAAACAGTGTAAATATTTTTGTTCATCTGTTAGAAAATTCTATTGTTGAGTAGGAAAAAGAACTATAGATAGAACATAATTTTGAATCGTCACAACAAATTAGAATTATATCATAGTAAAAAAAATATACTATATTAATTGAAACATGATGAAGATGTGATGGTTAAAAACTGTATCATATAAGTTGATATTACCAAAAATTAGGCGAAATGAAAAAACTAAAAAAGATAAAAAAAAAATTACAGAAGATATTACCACCCTATATGTGATTGCATAAATCAATAAAAGATTGTGAAACAAATACAGGCAAATAGAGAAAATGCAGCTGATCTAAGTGCTAGGGAGGTTGGCATCTTGCCCTTGTCCTTCCTCAGAAATAGGCCTTGATAAAGTGGCAAATTGATCAAAACCAATAACCCAGACAGCAGGATTTGCATAAACAATGTCTCACAAAGTCTTGCAACACTTTCCGCCATGACTGCCTCCGTTACCGCCCCAGAAAAGCAGTAGAGATTGAGCAATGCAAGGGCTGCTAGTATTGTGAACATCGGTGATGAAGTGCCGAACTCCATTATCTCTTTCTCGTACCGTTCCGAAACATCTTCATTGGCTGCTTTGGCGGTTATTATGAACGCCGAGTTGGAAAGTCCAAGTTTGTTAAGGATGGTGTCGATGAAGGCAAAGAGGTAAGAGCTTGCCCTCTCGTAAAACCACATCCTTTGGTGATTCCACCAGCCTAAGACTGAGCCACCAGACCATAGAAACTCTGCCAAGCTGTAAGTGTACTCAGCAATAATAACATATGCAAATGGTATGAGCCATGGGCTTGATATCTGGTTAATCAACAAAACAAGAGTTAGTTTTCATTAATTTGAGCTAAAGACTCTCTCTCTCTCCCTCTCTCTCTCTACACAAAGGCATAGTTATATATTGAATTCAACAAAAGAATGAGAAAAACTAGTATCAGAGAACTTTAACACATCCCAACAAATTGTTGTCATCTCACAGGAAAATCCTACTAAATTTACTTTTGTCTGTTTTAAAGATTTGCAACTAAGAAGACAGTGAAACTCATAAAACAGCCCGCAATATACAATAAACAGGCCGAAAATGCTAGCAAATTAGGCACAAAATCAAACGAAGCAAAATCATACCAAGCAAAATCAAATGAAGCATATATATGTGAGAAGAAAAAGAGATTTGTTATTATTAATTAAAGAAGAAAATCAAAGGACAAAGAGAACACAAAGAATTAATGTGGTTTGGCAATGCGCCTGCGTCTACAGGTTAGGAAAAAAGACAGAATTCACTAGTAGCGATCACACTACCTGTGGAAACAATGGAATGCCTCTGAGGAGGTAAAGTGATGGAACTATTGAGTAATAGAGAGTTGCCAGACAATTAGGAGTCCAAAGGCAATAATTGCAATATCCAAGTTGAAGGCCTAAGCTGATCTTCTTGTATGCATACCAAGCAGGACTATATTTGGAAAGCAAAACTTGGAAACACCCTTCAGCCCATCTCTTGTGCTGCACTAGTGTCTGAGGCAGTGTGATTGGAGCAACTCCCAAGAAGGCTTTCCTTGATGGATTAAAATACACTGATTTCCATCCTTGGGATTGGATTGATAACCCTGTCATAACATCCTCAACTGAGCATCCATATTTCAAACCAATCTGCAAATTTTGAACATCAATCAATAGCTCAAGAATGAAATGCACATATATAATTAACACACAAGAGATTAAGAGAAAGGATTATTCTCATTTGTGTCCCCTCAACTTTACGATCATTCTCACTTTATCTTTTGAATTTGAAAACTTCATTTTGCCCTATGAATTTTTAATTAGTCTCACTTAACCCTTTTTATTATTATTATTATTATTTTTAAAAGGAAAAAGAGGGGGTTAAGTGAGTCATGTGGTCTTTTTTTTTTTTTTTCAAGATATTCTAACACAAAGGTTTAAGTGAGACTAATTTCCCTCGTCAATTTTTAATGGAAATTCTATAGAAGGGTTTAAGTGGGAGTAATTTAAAATTCAAGAAGTGAAGTAAGAGGTTTTGAAATTCAGGGGGGCACAAATGAGATTAAAAAAAAAAAAAAAAAAACAACAAAGACCAACCTCTCTTCCCCATTGAGTGTTTTCATCATAAGTAGAGCTCGCAAGAGATTTTGATGTTTCTTCTAATTCACAAACACTTTGTTCTTTTCTGTTTCCCCTTTTTTCTTCTTTCTTATACACCACACCAAATTTCCTCCCTGAAAGAATGTCTCTTCTGTGAAAGCAGCCACTTCCAATGTAGAGAGGACCTCCATAACCATCCAAACCGTGGAATTCCACCTTGAAATTAAGTACATTACAGAAATGTGTAAGTTAATCACACGTAAAAAAGATTGTAAAAAGACACAAAATTAAAGGGGATAAACATAAAATATTCCCCGGTGTGTTGCTAAAATGTTTTAACATGACCCGTAAAACGTATTTTTAACACGACTGAGGATCATGTTCGACACGATTGAGGATCATGTTTGGCACGACTTGTAAAACGTAAAGGATATCAGCAATATTCCTGAAAACATACAATAATGCAGCATTTTGAATTTTGATCATAAAACACAAGGAAAACTTTTGTTGTCGTCCCAAATCGAAAGCAATGCCATGCACTCACCTCGTTGATAACTCGCAAAGAAGCGCCGTATAATTCATTCTTTGTGATGTTGTCAAAGTTCTGTGGAAATTGCACATATGCAATATCATGACCTTTCTCTTCATCTACCAAGAAGCAAATGGCGTCTCTTATGGATTTGGAGTTGTTTGAATACATATCGCAGTCCACATTTAGAATTATCTCTCCATTGCTGATCTTTGAAGATACTCTAATCTACAACATAGAAATCATAAGACAAACGATGAGCAAGACATTTCATAGTATCCCATGAACACTAATTTTATAAGTACTATTTTACTTAATGAAAGTAACACGTTATATATAACGTTACCAAATTATTGGACTAAAGAAATTCGTTACAGATGTTCTGGTTCGATTGTACGCGTATAAACGCGATCTCTTACCAATGCGTTCATAGCTCCGGCTTTGAAGTTATGGAAATGGAAGGGTCTCTTCTCTCTAGCCAAATACACTAGAGTTGGCAGGGTATAACCCGTGACATCCGTGGCATTTGGATCTCTCCCATCAAGTAAGATCTAGGAAAACATTACGAAAGCCAATAAGAAATAATTTTGTGAACAACTAAATAGAACAACTAAAAGGTGGCTGAAAAGAATACTTGAAGAATGGTGTCATGGTCACTGCGAGAAGAATATGAATCCCACTGAGAGAATCCTTTATGTTTTGACCTTTCTTCTGTTGGTATTTGGCCTAGCTTAGTTGCGGTTTCGATGCGATTCTCCATCTCCTCGTATAGTTTCTGAAACAGAAAACAGAGAACTTGTCACCAAAAATACCAACAACAGAATTAACGGTATGAAAAACATGTATCAGCAAGTGTTAGAAGATGATACAAAAAACAAATATTTAGAGAAGTTTTCTGGTTTTATACTTAATAAAAAAAATGACCTATTATCATGTCTAAATGTTTTTTAGAAATACCTTGATGATGGCCGAATCATTGGTAAGATTAGCATTCTCTTGATAAGGAGGCAAGGACCTAAAATAAGCGGCTGGTGACCTCGGTTCCACTTTGAATTTCTTGCAATATGGAATCCAGTACTTGGCAAATTCAGAAGCCTCCAAGAGAGCATAGAATGTGAGATCTGATCCTCCGTCATCTGAGAGATAAACACTAAGCTTCTGCTGTGGGTAGTCGTATGCCATCACTGATAGAACAGTGTTGATCACCATTATTGGTGGCTCGATTGTGGGGTCCGCCGTGCAAACAAATATGTCCACCCCTGGTAACTGATTCTCATATCTGGATCAAACAATATTTGGCATTAGTGCTTATGAAAAAGTGATGATGAGAAGAGAATAATCATGGAGATGTTTGAGTGCATGCAGATAGATATAGGGGTTACCTAAGAGCTAAGAAGAAACATAAACAAGAGTGTTACTATCAAACACATATTCATGTTTTTAAGACGTAAATTCAAACATAGATTCAGATTTTATTCCCTATTTAAATTTACACTTTAAATATATATCTAAACACCAGTTTGAATTGCCATTTAAAAATTAAAACCACAATCTTTTCAGATTTTATAGCTCAAATTGAAAAGGTTTAAAACATCTCAATTGAGAACCACACAACACCTACGTTTGTTTGTTTGTTTTTTTTTTTTTTTTTTTTTTTTTTTTTTTTTTTTTTTTTTTTCCCTTTAAGTAGTCCCACTTAATCCCTCGGTTAAAATTAAAAATAAAGGAAAAAAAAAGACTACATGACTAAATCCTCTGTTTCTATTTTTTTAATAGAAACTTTAATAAAAGGGATAAGTGGGACTAATTCAACGTCAAGAGACAAAATGAGAGTTTTTAATATTCGAGAAGTAAAATAGGAGTTATTTTAAAATTGAGGGGTATTAGTGAGAATAATCTGAAGGCTTAAATCGTCTCAATTTGAACATGGGAACAAATGGAGCCTAATTTTATTTTATTTTTTTCTAGATTAACATTATAGATACAACATCTACGTTTTCTTGTTTCCCAAGAAATAAATTTGTTAAGTTCCATATATGCCATTTGAGTACTTTAACTTCTAATAATTATCTAAACAATCAACAGTATTTGCACCAGAGACGCATGCGGATATTGTAATGTCTGAGAAAATTTCAGACCTTAAATAATACAATTTATTTATTTAAGCTAAGGATTTTCCTAGAAAATATTATGTGACTAAAGGATTTATGAAATTAATATCTGTATTCCTAAATTCTGTAGCAGATTTCATGTTAAGTTCATGTTTTTGATTAAGTAAATTTGATCGATAAATTCTTGCCGTACTTTAAGGTGGAATAATTTTCAGTACAAGTATAGTTTGAGAATCTTAATTTCAAGAATCTCCAAACACAACATGATGTTAGCAGCGTAAAAAAAAAAACGCACTGACATTTTTAAAGAAGAGAAAATCCTTAATTGCCAGATAGCTAGGTTAAAGTCACAAGATAGATACCTATAGTAGAAGGGTACAATGTGAGCTCAGGAGTTGACACCGTCAGAAACAATGTCATTCCCGGGATATAATGCAGAAAAGTTAAATTTAGAATTTATTCAGTCTAGAATTAATTTCAAGACTTGAAACAGTTTAAGATATTACGCGAGTAAGAATTTAACGTGATATCAAAGCAGACGAGGATTTAACAGTTGAACTGTAAATAAGTAGTAGAAAAAAAAAGAGAACTGTCAGAAACAAGAATTTCCTGTCAGCTAAGTACCCTTTACCGTCAGTATGATTTTTACTTGATTCAAAGGTAACTTAAGAGAGTGGACTAAAGTACAAGGGGTAGGATTTATTTTTCTCTCTCTCCTTCTCCACTTTGGCCGGCCATGCATAGAAAAAAATAGAGCCAAAATTGGCTAGTTGAGTGTGCTAGGGGATTACATGATAAGGTGTGATGGGATTGTGTCAAATCAACTATTGGACATAAATGTTTACCACACTTCCTTCTTGAAGCACACCACCGGCCATGCAAAAAAAAAATAGAGCCAAAATTAGCTAGTTGAGTGTGCAAGTGGATGACATGTTAAGGTGATATGATTGTAGTGGTTGAAGGGGAATTAATGGCAAATTTGCTTCTCCTTTTCTCCTTCCAAAACCGGCCAAGAAAGGGGGACTTTAACCAAAAATTTGGTTGAATGATGGAGTGGAATTGGTGTTAAAAAAAATAATTTCCAAGTTGCCTATAAAATGAACCAACATAGGATAAGCTTCATTTTTTTTCGCCTAGCTTTTTCCCCACTCAAAAATCCGGCCACACACTCTCCATTTCCTCTCAAATATTTTCTCCCACT